TAAACATACTTGATCAAAAAGATTTGGAATGTTCATCATTTGGCTTTCAATTGCCAAAGAATTAAAAGTCGGTAACACAGTAATGTCGGTGAATATATCAGAATGTTTGATGATTTCAATCCTTTTCATTCCAGTTCTGGGATTTTTCCAAGCTGTATTTAACCAAGTGGGAATCTGCATCTTTCCACCTTCAAGGTCCGTAACGATAATATAAATCTTATTTATATAATTCTTAAAAAAGGTTTCAACTGATCTTATAGAATAACGCAACTCATCATAATTGCGATAATAACGTTCTAGGACCATTATTTTAGATTTCTGTTCATAAGTTTCTTTCATCATTTTATAATAATCATCACTACCATTCACCCATGTATATACAATGTCAAATAGTATCCAGTCGCATGGTTCTTGGTATTTGGTTGATTCAAAAGCACCTGTACTAATCCATTTTTCTGTCCACGTCAAATCTTTACAGATGGATGGGTGAATTCGTTTATTCGTTATTGAAAGTTCTAGATCTATTTTAGTATTGTATAAGATTGAAATTAAATAGATCGTGCTCATGAACATTACCGCGAGAAAAATTATCACTGATTTCGGTAACACGATCATTTTTAAGATACGTTTTTGTTTCTGAAGGAACATGTTTTATATTACGGATAATTTATTTTAATACCAATATGATTCTTACGACGTTTTTTTATCACGAGAGATATTTATAATGCCAGATTATTTCCCCGAATGCTTCATTTATAATATTCTCAAGAATAATCTCAAATACTACTCAGGAACAAACAGAACTATTTAAAAAACGAGTGTGATTTTCATATTTATAAGTTTTATGATTCTCGGAATAAAATTTGATTTCGGCAGTTTGCTTAAAACCTAGCTCTTGGCATTACGATGATCATTCCCGTATCTGTAATATGTAATACTGTGTAATATATCGATATATATAAATTACTTTTCTTGGACTTCTTGGCATTTCACCATATATATATTAACGTCTTAAAAATATCACTAATGTAATTAATTTGTTAGATCTTATACTGTACGTACTTACGATCTGATTGCCACAGAAGTATGCTAAGCCAGGTCGAATTTTATTATCTACAATTTAGGGAATGATGTCATTGATCTTCAATTATGCGTGACAAACAGTAACTTTATAAAGCTCATAGCGATAGCGATAGAGAACTTTCATGTAATTTGCTAATTAGGATCAGTCGTCCAGGTAAGTGTTTTTAAAATGTAACGTCTCACTAACAAAAAAACATTAATCGTACGGACGTACTTAGAAGACAAATGAGTGACGCCAAGGAAAAAATTCGACTTCGATCATGTAAAATTTATATAACAGAAATCTGGTTTTCCTTGGCGTCACCCAAATATTTTACTATGTATTGCTATGCAAAAGTACTATACGCTAAACGACCAGCTAAAAGAAATGACTGAAAAATAGAATATTGTCCAGTTATGACAAGTGGAGAAAAGTCTACCAATTATCACTATATGTTTTTTGGTTTTAAATACATAGTTCGATAAAAGCTACTTGTTCATTTTTTTTCTTTTCAATTAATTAAGTTTTAGATAAAGAGCTTTTGAATTTTAGTTTAATATAAAGATATTTAATACAACTAGACTGCCTGCACTATGTTCAAAATACATAAAAATAATGAATAAAGCCTGGTTTAATAATAACTTGCATATTGAATTTCTTTGATTTGGTTGGTCAATAATTATGTTTTGTTTTATATAACAGTAATCGAATTAGCCAATCAAAGAATCTAAAATCACAAAGTCGCGGATTTTTTTTATGAATCTCCGAGTATTCAATGAGGAATAACAATTCATGAGATTTGTCAATCAAGTTATTTGTTTCGAAATTTCGATAAATAAGTTTTTTTTTAAGCATTAAACTAAAGACTTGTTCTTGACCACCTGACCAGGGCAGAAAATGCCTGTTCATTTCCCGGCCATTCAAAAATATCGCTCTTAATTCAAATTTACATTATTATAATGTATCGAAAAAGACACTTGAAACAATGAGCTGCCTAACAAAATAATAATCTACATTGTTTTTAATCCATGTGATCAATAAGATATTAAGTGGTTATTAATTCGCAGCAAATCTGTGCCACTTAAGTAATTCAAAAGGTAACAATTTCATGGAATTTAACCAGTCAACAACGCCTTGCCGATTACTAATTTTCGAAATTTTCTATTACATTTTCTAAAATCATTATTTACTGTTATTTGCTTGGCGAATATTCGAAATTCTCATAGGAACTATTGTTTTTACAATTTCGGATGCCTTTAGATGATATGTTTTATATATGGATTTGCTTATTAGATACGCAAGTTGCCTTTTTTGTTAGCTAAAGCTCTTTAATGTTAAACGATTCTTTTTTTACATAGTTTATTAGGGATTAGTTTTTTTTTTCTCTTTTTATGTGATTATTAAAACAAATTTGAAATAAACTATATACATAGTAATCTTATCAACTTAAATATAAATCTGGTTTAGTAGTTACAACCTAGCATTAATTAGTACAAATTTGGGATTAAAAGAAAAAAATAAAATATCAGTCTCTATAACTAATATAGTTTGGATCAGGACCTGAAACCGTTTATTTTTAAATAATTAATTTCTGCATAGGTGTGATTTACAATACGTATTAGTTGATACGTATAATAGTCGCCTTAGTCAACTTAGCCAGTTACAGTAGGTCAGTCGATTTTTTAGAAAACTAGCTTAGAAGGCTAGACTAACCTAAAATGCCCAAAAATTACGATAATCTTAATAAGAAACGTAAACTTGTAAAACTTGATCGTAGTTAACTATTTATAGAAATCCTTTCAGTATAAAATTAGTTGTTATATGAGGACTGATCTAGGAAAATGTCAACCTAAGAATTTGAGAATTCACCGACTAATGAATATCATTTTAATCGGAGAATCCTTTAATTCCCAGATCGACATTTCCCTAGACCAGTTTTCATATGTATGATGCCAAAGGAAAATGGAACTTTAATCATATAAAATTTATATGATTGAAGTCCCATTTTCCCTTAGCGTCATTCATATATATTTAGAATAATAAATCTATAGATATGTCAATATCACTTTAATTAGCATTTACGTAGCTTTATAGGAATGCGCCGTTATCTTTATTAGAGAATGTAGATCCACAGGTAGGACAATAACCCTTTTCAACAAGTATTCTTTCAAAAAATCCTTGGTATGATATGCAACCTTTCTGAATATCCTCTAATTATTTTCCAACCTTTTATATTACATGTGAAAGAGATACGGAAAGAATTTCGATAATAAAGAAAATATTTGGAAAGTTGTATATCGCACCAAATATTTTTGAAAGAATACTTGTGAAAAAGGTTTATTGTTCTACCTGTGATCTCAAGTGGACTTCGGCGATAATCCACACTAGAGTTCTGCAAGTAAACATGCCAGATACAATCGGCATTGTGCCTGGCACTGTTGGCACTATGTCGGACAGAAATACTAGTGTCCAAGCGCCTGCAATTTTTTGTTATTATGCCCTGAACTTTGCCGGTGCCGATGTTTTTAGCACAAGCCTATCAGCTATACAATTTATTATAGGAAAACATCTATATGATTGGTTAATGATCAACTCAATATTTAATATATCGATATACAATATAAATAATTTGTATTGGTGATTTCTATAGTGTTGATATGGTTATG